TGCTGAGGCTTGAAGAGGATATTTAATAATGGGAGATCTTAAATATCATTATATGGAGTGTAAATTGATGCAACTATTTTGAAAAACAATTTGACATCATCTTATAGAATTCAACTCTCACATATCCTTCTATCCAAGTTTCACTCTTAAGTTTGTGCCCTAGAAAAACTCTTACACATATATTCCAGAATACACATACAAGAACGTCCATAGTGTAATTGTTTGTAATAACAAAAACAAGCAGGCAAACAAACAAAACTGGCAGCAACCCAAGTATCCTTCAAGAGGATAAATAAATTTTATAGTATTCATACAATGGTCCATTATACTTTAAAGAAAATGTGTGAACATAGCTATAGACAACTCAAGTGAACCTTAGAAATGTAATACGATATTTTAAAAAGTCAAAGAAACTTACATATCATAGGATATAATATTATAAAGTTCTAAACAAGCTAAACTAAACATATATTGTTTAGGGAACCAAATATATGCCATGAAACTTTTAAAAAAATTAAGGGAGTACTACATCAAATATGTGATAGTGGTATCTTTGGCAGGGAGATACAGGGATGGAAAAGAGAAGGCACAAAGTATTAGAATATTCTAGTCCTTAAGTTGGGTAGTCGGTTAACATGTGTTCATTTTCTTGGTGTGCTCTGTGTTTTGTGTGTGTGTGTGTGTGTATGCTACAAATATTTTGTTATGCATGTCAGTTTTTACATAATTTTTGAATTTCTGTTTTCAGAGCTATGATGTGTTCTTTGTTCTCTCCTGTCCGTAGCATACAAAGTCAGTGTGTCCTAGAGGTGAAAGACATCTTAGAATTCATCTAGTCCAACCTCCCTTCTTCCTAATGCAGGGACACTAAGGCCTAGAGAGGGGTAGGTGCTTTGCTGAAGGTCACACAGCTGATTAGTAGAAAAGCTGGAGCCAGAACCTGGGTCTTTTGATGGAGTTTCTGTTTTGGGGTAACTCACCTCACTGAAACACCAGAATGTGAAGTCAGACGTGGGGCTGCAATACCAAATCAGCCACTTACTGTCTAGGGGATTTTAGCCAAATTACTTTGCCTTTCTGATGCTCCAGGTTATTCATTTCTCAAAGAAGCAAAAGGATAACTTTTTTTCACTGTTTATACAATGAGCGAGAGAACATATATAAGGAACCTAGCATAGTACATACAAAATGCACTAAAGAAAATATAGCAGTTATTACAACTATTATTATTTTCATTGTAGTAAAATGATTTTTAAAATGGACAAAATAAGGACTGCTCCAAAAAAAAAATAAATTCTACTGATGCTGGGGTATCCTCTATTACCTATGTCATCATGTTGTAACACAGATATATTAAAAACAAACACATACTACCTTTCTCAGGTATTAGAATCCCTCGAGAGGCCTGTAAGTAGTCACTGATTGCAGTTGCTTTATGAAAAGTAATGTGTTTTTTTTTTTTTTTTTCAAAAACTTTAGGTGAAAAGGTTTAAATCTTGGTTACAGTGTTTATTATGAACTAAAACTTGGTATTCTGCTTCTAATAACATAATTAATAGTTGTTGATTTATTTTCTTTCATTCCCCACCTTGCCTTATAAGTCCTCTACACTGTTACTGTAATACATGCTTATTTATTATAAGAAATTCAAATGGTATAGAGGGGTATGAAGAGAAAAGTAAAAGTTGCCTTCTGTTTACTTTCTTCCCCACTACTCATACAGCCCTCTTCAGAGAAACCACTGTTTCTCCACTTTGAGGATATAATTAAACTTTTTTATTATTATTATTATTATTTTTTTCTTAATTTTATTTTGTCGATATACAATGAGGTTGATTATTGTGGCCCATTA